ATATATATATATATATATATATATATATATATATATATATATATATATATATATATATATATATGCATCTGCTGCATATGTGTACGCCTGTACACATATGTAAGGATAGGTGTATATGGATATAGTATAAATGCATGTGTAATATATACATGCATACAGAGAGGAAGACAGGGATAAAGAAGTGCTAATCAAGAAGAATTCAGGCACGGAGAGAGACAGACACCACCAAGCACGGGAGAGAGACGGAGACAGCAGAACGCAGGGGGCAGACAAAGACAGCAGAAGAGACAGCCAGAGACAGGAGAACACAAGACCCAGAGCCGCCATATTGCAAGAGATAGCAGAGACAGAAGCAATCGGGAAAAACAGAAACCAAAGAATCCAGAGGAGTTAAGGAGAGACAGTATACAGCAGTATGAGGCAGCAGCAGGCGGCTGTAGCTTCTGCTGCTCACCGCAGGTCTTCGCGCGAGGCAGAGAAGAGCTCCAGCTGTCTCTGACTGTCAGCAGGAGCAGCAGCAGCAGAAGTAGCATCAGCAGCATCAGCAACAGAAGGCTGCGGGATGAATGCGAGGAGACAAACGAACATCGGAGGAGACAAACGCGCAACAGCAGACAGGGGCAGGAAGGCTGTCCCCTCACTGTCCAAGCAGACAGCGGGTCCTCCTGTGAAGCACATGTACACCCTAAACCCTAAACCCTGAATCAGGAGACCCCCTTCAAAATATATCAATGCATTGAAGGGGTTCTGCAGCAGGGAGTTGCTGTTGATCTGCTGCAGCAGCAGTCCCCAGCAGCAGCAGCACCAGGGGACCTGCCAAAACACAACTTTGGCACGCCGGCAGCAAACCCAGCAGCTGCAGCAGCAACAACAACAAAAACGATAAACAGAACCAGCGGCATCAAAGGCAGAAGCAGCAACAAAAACACCAAAATAAGCAAAAGCAGCAGCAGCAGACCTTCGGGACACAGATGAGCCGCTGCTTGCTGCATGCCTGCAGCAGCAAGCGCGTGATTCCCCAGTCGGCCTAGCAGCGCCACGGGGACCCATTGAGGCAAGCTGCTGCTGCTGCTGCTGCTGCTGTCGGCTCGGATCTTCGCTTTCAAGTGCTGTTGTGCTGCGAAGTCGGCAGCGAGATGGAAGTGCTGAGAGGAAACCAACGGAGGCAGAGCAGACAAATGGAGACAGAGTCACGGGGAGAAGACAAAGGCAGAAGGAGACAAAGACAGAAGCAGAAGCAGCAGCAGATACACACAGAAGGAGACAAAGACAGAGGGAGACAGATAGCTCAGCAATGCAAATGCAGGTCTGGTTGAATATATCACCTCTAAATAGGAGATGAAGAGAGAGGGGAGACAATTCGAGAGACAGAGACGAAGAACAAACAAATGCAGAGGGGACAGACACCCCACAGGAAGCATTTCATCGGTAGACAAACACATATGCTTCTGCTGCTGCTGTTGCTGCTGCTGCTCTTGCTGCTGCTGCTGCTGCTGTTGCTCTTCCTCCTGCTGCTGCTGCTTCCTCTTGAACAGGCAGCCAGCCTTTGCGAGCCGTTGCAACAGCAGCGCCAGTGCTGTATCATCAGGCTCCGTATGTGCTGCTACTGCTGTGGTCTCTGCTGCTGTTCCTGCTGCTGTTTCTGCTGCTGCAGCTCCTGCTGCTGCTGCTGTTTCTCCCCCGGCGGCCTCAAGAAAGAGGCCTCTGCGAGCCAACTGCTGCAGCAGCAGCTCGTCGATGAAGACAGACTCTCCCCTCTCTCTGCGTCTTTGCAAAAAAGACAAAATGCGGTTCAGCAGCAGCAGCCGCTTCCTCTTACTGCTGCTGCTGCTGCTGCTGCTTTTTGCAGCAGCAGAACCCACGAGCTTCAAGCGTCCCCACGGGTCGCATGCAATGCTGGGGTGTAGAGGCAGCTCCGCGACAGCCAGAGCGATGCCCCTCCAATCAAAGTGAAGGAGACAGAAAGAGAAAATGCATTTCCACGCGAGAGAGCTTTTCGGCCCCTCAGCAATATCAAGACAGCCCGCAGCCACCTCCCACAGTGTGCGCACACCCTGCTGCTGCTGCTGTTGTTGCTGCTGTTGCTGCTGTTGTTTGCCGCTGTTCCGCCGGCTGGGAGAACGGAGTTTGTGGATGAGGGCTACGTGTCTCTCCTCTACAAATATCCGCAGGATATCGGAGGGCTTAAAGAGAGACAGCTCGAGGAGAGACAGACTGATATAACCCCCCAGAGACGCGTGCGTTGCTGCTGCTGCTGCTGCTGCTGCTCCTGGGTCGTTCGCAGGCGGCCGGGTCGTAAAGAGAGCAAACAAATCCTTCTCCGCTGCCAGCAGGCGACTGCACTCCGAGCAAGAGCCCCTGAAGCAGCAGCAGCAGGAGACACACACAAATGCACTGCTGCTGCATGCAGCTGCTGCATGCAATGAATCACATTCAGAGAGAATGTGGCCTTTGGTTTCGCTGAGGCCCCAGGAGGATATAAAAAAGAGAGAAGGGACAAGAGAGACAGTCAGCTACTCAACCGCAAACGATCTACTGTGCACAACAAGAGGAGACAGACAGACATCAGGAGACAAAGAGGAGACAGGCGCAGCATGAAGCTGCAAAGGCAGACAGCAAAGAGACACAAGGGGGGGCCAACGGGAGAGGAGGCAAACAAAGTGTCTCCTCTCCCACATACACACAAAAAAATTATTTTTTTTGTTTGTCATTGGTTTGCTGCTGCAGCCCTGAAAGGGCCGTACCGGAGGTTGGCTTGGAGGGTGGCAGCTTGATGGTGGTGCTGCTGTTGCTGCTGCGATGCTGCTGCAGCAGTCGCTGCCTGCTGCAGCTGCAGCAGATCTGCTTCGGCGTCGAGGGGTACACCGCACGCGCGATGTAAGCACACCGGAGCAGTGTCTGTTGTACCGCACTGCGACAGCAGCAGATGTTGCTGTTGCTGCTGCGAAACTTTGTTGCTGCTGCTGCAGTCGCGCCTGTTGGCATCGGGAGCAGCAGCAGCAGCAGCAGCAGCAGTAGCAACCCCAGAGAAGCAGCACTCCGCGAGGTCTGGCACCTCCCCAGCTCTTAGATGAGCCCAAGCCTGCAGCAAAAACTCACGATGGCCCGCTTCAATACAACAGCAGTAGCTAGAGCAGCAGCTGCAGCTGCTGCTGCTGCTATTGCTGTAAAAGTGCAGCAGCACAGTCAGCAACAGCAGCGGCAGCAACAGCAGCAACAAAAGCAACAACAGCAGCAGCAGCAGCATTACCCTCAGTGCTTCTTTGGGGTGTCTCTCAGGCGTAAAGGCAGGAATGGGCTCGGCTGCTGCAGCAACACGGCTGCTGTCTGTAACGACAAAACAGCAGCAGCAGACGCAGCCGACGCAGCAGCAGCAGCAAACGCAGCAGCAGCAAACACAGAAGCAGCAAAGAAGAAGCCAAGAATATATGAAGACGTGAGCTGTGTGTGCTGTCTCCCTTTCCTTTTGACTACCATTCCTTCTGTCTGTCTCCTCATTTTTCTGTGGCTATTATAAACCCCTTTTTCTGCTTCGTCTCAGGGGCTCCTTGCCTGCATAGATACTTCTCTCGCACCGCTCCTCCCTCTGATGCCGCTGCTGCTGCTGCTGCTGCTGCTGCAGGATCTGTTTTCTCAGCCTGAAGGAGACGTAACCGTCGCACAGGGCCCCAGCGCGAAGGGCAGCGGCGCCACCTGCTGGCCAACACTCTTCTGCAGCAGCTGAAGCTGCAGCAACAGGTCCATTGCTGCTGCTGCTGCTGCTGCTGGTGCTGGCTGTCGGGGTGTCTTTGGTGCCCCCCGCGACGTGCAGCGAGACAGAAGATGCGTCTCCTTCTGCTGCAGAATAATCATCTGCTGCTGCTGCTGCTTCTGCTGCAATGGCTAGGGACGTACACCGCCTAGCTAGCTCCGCCTCATAGGAAGGGTTTGTAAACAGCAACTCGAGTACCTGAGGCAGCATATACACCCCAATGCTGCAGCAGATCAGGCAATGCTGCAGCATTAGCAGCGCCCATAACACACTGCTGCAGCAGCATATACACCCCTATGCAGCACACGAGCAAGCACTGCTGCAGCAGCAGATACACTCCACTGCAGCAGGTGCCTCTTTCTGTGCATCACGGAGACGACGCGCAGCAGCAGCATCTGCCCGGGCATAGTTCTAAGCCCTTAGTCAGCAGCAGCAGCAGCAAGAGCCGCAGCAAAGCAGCAGCAAGAGCAGCACCTGCATGATGCGGATGAGGCTCATGTGCGCCGGCTGTAGCTGCTTCTGGTGATAGAGGTGCCGCAGCAAACGGCGGCGTACGGGCGTCCGCGTAGTGAGCAGCGCCGCCCGCAAACAAAAACCAGGAATATCAGCCTGTAGCAGCAGCAGCAGCAGCAACAACAACAGCAGCCACAGCAGCAGCAGGAGCAACGGTGGTGGGAATGGGGACACGCGACGTAGGGGACTTGCAACGGGCAGGCAGCGCAGCAGCTGCTGCTGCTGCTGCTGAAACAGGAACCAGGAAACAAAGAGACAGATAGGGAGACAGCACGAAACACAAGACAGAAGGAGATTAAGAGACATAAAGGGACACAGAAAAAGGCAGGAAGAGACACAGGAGACAGGGGGAAAGACAAGGAGACGGGAGAAAGATAAACCAAATGAGACAAAAGGAGACGGAGAAAGGCACGGGGAGACACAATCAGACAGAAGGAGACTGAGGGATACAGGAAGAGACAGGAAGAGACAGGAAAAGGCAAAAGGAGACAGGAGGAGGCAAACCGAGAGAGGGAGAGACAGAGGAGACACGATGAAGCTGGTAGTGCACTGCGCTGCTGCTGCTAGAGAGCTGATCTGTTAACTGCAGCAGTACCGTCTGCTGCAGCAGCAACAGCTAGCATCAGCAGTAAGCAGCAGCAGTAGAACCAGCAGCAAGCAGCAGCAGAAGCAGCAGCAATTGAGGCATGCAGCAGGGTTCTTACCCCTAGCTGCCGCAGCATCTGCAGCCCCACGAAGAAGAGCTCCGCCTGCTGGCAGCAAAAGAGTCTGTAGGCCATTCGGTCAGCGACTTGCTGCAGCAAATCCATTGCGGAAACCTGCTGCTGCTGCTGCTTCTGCTGCTGCTGCTGCTGCTGCAGCCGCTGCTGCAGCCACACCAAACCCTTGCTGATCCGCCCGCTCAGCAGCGTCTCCCTGACGACGGTCTCCACAGACGCATCCGGGCCCCACGGTAGCTCGGCGTCCCTCTGCGTGACAGCAAATAGCTGCTGCTGCTGCTGCTGCTGCTGNGCTGCTGCTGCTGCTGCTGCTGCTGTAGTGGGTCAGAGTCCAGCAGCATCACCGCCTGATGCTGCTCCTCCTGCTGCTGCTGTTCCGGCTGCTGCTGCCTAGCAGCAGCGGCCGAGACGCGCTGCTGCAGCCACCGCAGAAGCCGAACGTACAGTGCAAGCTCTGAAAGCTCATCTGTCAGCTGTTGTTGCTGCTGCTGTTGATGCTTGCTCGGCGCAGCAGCAGCAGCAAGGTCTATCTTGGCTAGAACACGTAAGTCCGTGAGAGAAGCAGCAAACTGCAGTAGCCGCAGCAGCAAACGCGAGCTGAACCCGATATCTAGGAGGGATGCTGCTTCGCACTGTAGAATCACTGCAGCAGACGGCACGTCTGCTCCTGTTGCTGCTGCTGCTGTTGCTGTTGCTGCTGCTGTTGCTGCACTCTGTGCTGCTGGCGCTGGTGCTGCTTGCCAAGGCAACACCAGAGAAACCAAAGAAGGGGGAAACTGTATGCGGGTGTCCGTGCTGTTGCAGCTGCTGCCGCTGCTGCTGCTGTTGATGTCGCTACCACTGCTGCTTCTGGCGTGATACCTTCGTGTTGCTAGGCCGCGGTCCCTCAGCCGGTGCAACTCGCTGCAGCACTGCTGCTGCTGCTTCTGCTGCTGATGCAGCGCCTGCAGCAGCATCAACGCGCGCTGGGCAATTGCATTCGACTCGTATATAGATGGGGTGTCTCCAGCAGCAGCAGCGGCAGCAGCAGCAGACTCTGTCGTCCCTTCTGGTGTTGCAAAGGCAAAAGGCAGCGTCTCTCCGCTGTATCCATTAAATACAAAGGCCATGAGAAGCCGCATAGCAATCATTTGCTGCTGCTGCTGCAGCAGCAGCAAGGCCTCTGCGA